CCCCCAAAACCCCAAAACCCCAAAAAAATTCCGAATGGAGATATTTTTACAGTTCAAAATAATTATTAAAAATGGTAGAATAGCAATAAACCAATACTGTAGCAGAGAATATCATAGTGTTTGATCCAAAATCCATAAATTTGAACGAAAGGCACACTAAGATCATGGGAACGTTGAACAAGAAAACCACTGATAAATAACTTAATGAGTATTCATTATTTCCTAAAACAAAATTTTATGTATTTAGATTTATCATAAATGGAATGGATAGCATTAGAATCTTTTGCGATGATGGATATGAAACTTGCTAAAAACTTATCCAGACTGGCAGGAAATCAGCATAGGATTCAAATAGAAGAATTTCTGTATGTATAGAAATGAGATGTAAGAGGAATTAACTTTTAATTTTTATATATTTTAGAATCAAAGAAATTATCTGTGGGCTAGATTGCTAAAGATGATTTAATGCAGCTAAAAATCGGAGAAAAATTAAGAATCACCACGGATGAAAGTGTCATTGGCACTAAGGGAATAATCTCAGTCAAAAATTTCCATAGTTTTCCTGAGGAACTATTAGAGTATGCAAATGGATTATATATAATACAATTAATGATTATAGTGAATGCAGCATGGTTTTCTTCGATATGGGAAGTATTTGCGCACAAATTAAGCATGTTGAAAAAGATTTTATAGAATGTGAAGTTTAAAATGATGGAATTATATATGAGAATTCATAAGTTAGCTTTGCTCATCGGGGAAACTCTGATAATAAATTTGAGATGAATCATTCAGAGGAGGTTCTTTAATCTAGTGATGTCAAATTTTGCTTGGAAAATGAAGTCGATTATATTATTCACTCCATTTATAATGGCAAAAATGAAATACTTGAACTACAAAAAATGATTGATTAAGAGAAATAAAAGATTCCTGATTATAAATAAGACTAAAATGTAAAGATAATAGCAAAGCTTGAAAATGAAAATGCAATTATTGATATTGAGGGGATCCTAGAAGTAGCAGATTGTATTATGATACCTCGGGGTGTATTAGGCACAGTGCTACCTATCGAAAAAATCAGCTGGATACAAAAGAAGATAGTAAAGTGCTGCAATTAAGCAGCTAAACCATGCATTTTAGCTTCTTAATTTTTGGATTCGATGGTTCATAATCCATTCCCATAAAGAGCTGAAGTTACTGATATTTATTCTGCTGTTATGGACGGTGCAGATTGTCTTTTATTGAACTCTGAGACTACGATTGGAAAATACCCTATCGAGGCTATTAAGACTATGAATGAAGTGTGCATGAATGCTGAAAGGCACTTTAGTTATCGGGACTTCTTTATTGAAATGCTTACAAAGGCTGAGAAACCTATGCAAACAGTAGAAGCTGTTGCTAACTCCTGCGTTAAGAGTGCCTTCAACCTTTAGAGTAATGTCATTATTTGTGTCACTGATATCGGAAGGGTCTCACGTATGATCAGTAAATACAAACCTTATTCTTAGGTAATCGTACTCTCTACCAATAAAAGGCTTGCGAATCAATGCTGCTTATCTAGATCTTGTAATGGATTATGGGTTAATGATGTAAACAATGTCAACCTTATGATCTTAAGTGTTGTTGGCATCCTTAAATAATAGGGTCATGTTAAGGAAAACGATGATATAGTGTTTGTATCTGGAGTTATGGACATTCAAATTAAGAGTCAGTTCCAAATGAAATTAATACAAGTTTGACGATAGTATTTAAATAATCGACTTATTTTTAACTTTCATCTCAATTTTTTATGAATTTCTAATATTGATAGAATTTAATCAGGCTCCTTGGGGTTTTGGGGTTTTGGGGAGATCGGAAGAGCAC